TTTTTACCATTTTAATTTAAAAGATTATTATGATTGACATGTTATATTCGATAGTTTAATGTATTATGATTAAAATTTATTATTTCCCTAGATTGAAATTATTTTTATTTGATTTATAATTATTTTCTGCTAGATAAATGTAACCGAGTTTAAATTTGCTATTTTACTTTGTTAATAATTTTCTTCGTGTGGGATGATTTCTTTTGTTACTTTGATAGTAAAACCTAATATATATAAAAATAGGCTGGTCGGCTTGGATTTGGGTTCAGTTATCTGGTTAGGTTATTTTCGGTTTTAGGTTGGGTTGGATTCAAATCGCTCAAATGTCGGGTCATTTTGGTTTGGGTCTTTTTCAATTTCGGGTCATATGGTTCCGATAATTTCGGGTTTGAACCTTCAAGTTCAATTATTTTCGAATTCGGGTTATTTAAATACAATTAATCCTGATTCGAGTAATTCCAGATTAATCTCTTGGATTGATATGATTCAGGTCGATTCAGGTTTAGGTCATTAAGGATTTGAGGTCAGGTCATTTCGGTTTCGGATTGGGCGGATTTTTTGGTCGAATCGGGTTGGATAAGGTTTGGTTTCAGGTGATCGAGTCGGATACCCATACTCGAGTCAAAATTTTGCAAGCTATAATTATATGTTTCTTTAGGATAAAATTAGTAATTAATATACTTAAGGTTTTAATTTTAATTTAATTTAAAGATATCAGGTCATGTGAAAAGCACGTGAAAGATAAAAGTACGAATAAGAGGAAACTTTATGTTTTCTTATTGTACCCATTTTTTTAAAATATATTTCTGATTATACCTTTTTTTAAATATATATTTCTAAATTGCCATTACTAAATAATATTTTAATTATTTCATTAGTTTTTTAATTATAAATGAATCCATTATTAATTATTTAAAAATTAATTAAAAATTTCAATTTAGACCGAATTATAAGTTTGTCAAATTAATTTTAGTTGATGAACATGTAAATTTCCTTTACTATTATTTTTTGAATTTAATATTTTACTTTTAATTTCAATTTTCAAATGTCAATAAAAAGATTAAACTAGCACTAACACTAACACGTACAATACTATTGTTAGTGAAGCTCCATCTCTTCATTATATAATGTTTTCCCGCATTCACTTTGTTCAATTGGAAATTGTTGTGTTAGAAGAGTGGGTGATATTATGTATTTTGTATTTTTTATCTCTATGTGGTTATCAAAATTTCATAAGATGGTTATTATGATTTCATGAGGAGGTTATCAAAATTCAATAGTGTGGTTACCAAATTCTCATATGGAAGTTACCAAAATTTCATACTGTGGTTACCAAAATTTCTTAGGATCAGGTTATAAAATTTCTTAGGTTGGTTATTGAAATTTCATAGGGTGGTTAATTATCACAATTTTATAGAAAGGTTATCAAAATGTCATAGCGAGGTACTAAAAATTTCATAGTATGGTTAACAAAATTTCATCAGGAGGTTACAAATATTTCATGGGGAGGTTGTCAAAATTTTATAGTGTGATTATCAAAATTTCATATGAAGGTTATAAAAGTCTCATTTTCATAAGGAGTACCAAAATTTGATAGAAGGTTATCAAATCTCATAGAGTGATTATCGAAATTTCATAGAGATCGGATTATCAAAATTTATAGAAAGATTAAAATTTCATAGTGTTGTTATCAAAATTTCAAAGCGAGGTTATCAAAATTACATAATGTGATTATCAGAAATTCATAGAGGGGTCAACAAAATTTTATAAAAAGGTTATCAAAATTTCATAAAGAGGTTATCAAATTTTCAAAATGTGATTACAAAAATTTCATAGTGGTATTTCTGGGGAGGTTATCAAAATTTCATAGTATGGTTACCAAATTAGGAAGGTTATTAAACTTTTATTATGGAGTAATCAAAATTTCAAGGAGGATATCAAAATTCAGGAAGGATATCAAAATTTCATATGAAGGTTTATCAAAATTTCATAGTTTAGTTTTCAAAATGTCATAAGAGGGTTATCAAAATTTCATAGTATGTAGATCAAAATTTCATAGGGAAATTAACAAAATTTCATAATGAGATTTATCAAAAAAATCATAGGGAGGTTATCAAAATTTGTAGTTATCAAGATTTCATAAGAAAGTTATCAAAATTTTATAGGAAGATTTATCAAAATTTCATAGTGTGATAATCAAAATTTCAGAGTGTGTGATTACTAACACAATTCATATGGAGGTTTTTAAATTTTCATAACGTGGTTATCAATATATCATATGGAGGTTATCAACATCTCATAGTGTTGGTTATTAAAATTTCATTGGGACAAATTGAGGTCTTCAAAATTCCTTAGGGCAGTTAACAAAATTTCATAAGAAGGTTAAAAAAAAGTTTAGAAAAAGGTTCTTGAAATTCTATAATATCGTTATTAAAATTTCATAGGAAGGTTATCAAAATTTCATAATAGGATCATAAAAAATAGTGTAATTATCATAATTTAATAGTGAGGTTATCATAATTTCATATGAATATTTTATTTAAACACATTGCGCCACGTGCAACACACGTGAAAGTTAAAACTAGAACTATATATAAAAGTACGAATAAGGGGAAACTTTATGTTTTCCGATCGTACCCTTATTTTTAAAATATATTTCTAATTTTACCCCTTTTTTAAAACATATTTCTAAATTGCCATTACTAAATAATATTTTAATTATTCAATTATTTTTTTAATCATAAATTATTCCATTATTAATTATTAGATTATATAATACATATATCTATACTATATATAAAAGTACGAATAAGGGGAAACTTTATATTTTCCGATAGTATCCTTATTTTTAAAACATATTTCCAATTGTACCCTTTTCTTTAAAACATATTTCTAAATTGCCATTACTAAATAATATTTTAATTAATCCATTATTTTTTTAATCTTATAATAATTATATAATGTGTGTACTAAATTATAAGAAAGTCAATTTGACTTCTTGATTCCAACGTCCTATTTAATTTTGTCTTTTGTCTTTGTTTCCAATTGTTTTATTTAATTTTGCTTTGTCTTTGGTCTAAAATTTCCATTATTAAAATTTAGTATAATTTTATTATTTCAAAATTAATTAAAAATTCAATTTAGACCGAATTATGAGTTTGTCAAATTGATTTTAGTTGATGAACATGCAAATTTTCTTTACTATTACTTTTTGAATTTAATATTTTACTTTTAATTTCAATTTTTAAATGTCAATAAAAAGATTAAACTAACACTAACACGTATAATACTATTGTTAGTGAAGCTCCATCTCTTCGTTATATAATGTTTCACTTTGTTCAATTGGAAATTGTTGAGTTAGAAGAGTAGGTGATATTATGATTTTGATTTTCTTGTCTCTAAGTGGTTATCAAAATTTCATAAGATGGTTATTATAATTTCATGACGAGGTTATCAAAATTCCATAGTGTGGTTACCAAAATTTCATAGGATCAAGTTATTAAAATCTCTTAGGTTGGTTATTGAAATTTCATAGGGTGGTTAATTATCACAATTTTATAGAAAGGTTATCAAAGAGATTATCAAAATGTCATAGCGAGGTTATATAAGAATTTCATAGTGTGGTTAACAAAATTTGATTAAATATTTAATGGGGAGGTTGTCAAAATTTTATAGTGTGGTTATCAAAATTTCATATGAAGGTTATAAAAGTCTCAATTTCATGGGGAGTACCAAAATTTGATAGAAGGTTATCAAATCTCATAGAGTGATTATCGAAATTTCATAGAGATCGGATTATCAAAATTTATAGAAAGATTATCAAAATTTCATAGTTTTGTTATCAAAATTTCAAAGCGAGGTTATCAAAATTACGTAATGTGATTATCAAAATTTCATAGAGGGGTCAACAAAATTTTATAAAGAGGTTATCAAAATTTCATAAAGAGGTTATCAAATTTTCAAAATGTGTTTACAAAAATTTCATAATGTTATTTCTGGGGAGGTTATCAAAATTTCATAGTATGGTTACCAAATTAGGAAGGTTATTAAACTTTTATTATAGAGTAATCAAAATTTCAAGGAGGATATCAAAATTCAGGGAGGATATCAAAATTTCATATGAAGGTTATCAAAATTTCATAGTTTAGTTTTCAAAATTTCACAAGAGGGTTATCAAAATTTCATAGTATGTAGATCAAAATTTCATAGGGAAATTAACAAAATTTCATAATGAGATTATCAAAAAATCATAGGGAGGTTATCAAAATTTGTAGTTATCAAGATTTCATAAGAAAGTTATCAAAATTTTATAGGGAGATTAATCAAAATTTTATAGGAAGATTTATCAAAATTTCATAGCGAGGTTATCACAATTTCATAGTGTGATTATCAAAATTTCAGAGTGTGATTACTAACAATTCATATGGAGGTTTTTAAATTTTCATAACGTGGTTATCAATATATCATATGGGGGTTATCAACATCACATAGTGTTGGTCATCAAAATTTCATTGGAAAGTTATCAAAATTTCATATTGAGATCTTCAAAATTCCTTAGGGAAGTTAACCAAATTTCATAAGAAGGTTAAAAAAAATTATAAAAAGGTTCTCGAAATTGCATGGTATCGTTATTAAAATTTAATAGGAAGGTTACCAAAATTTCATAATGGGATCATAAAAAATAATGTAATTATCATAATTTAAGACAGAGATTACCATAATTTCATATGAATATTTTATTTAAACACGTTGCGCCACGTGCAAGACACGTGAAAGCTAAAACTAGTTTTTTTAAAAAGGTGGACATTGGTCAATTTTCTCTCTTCTGTTGTTGGCTTGGATTTCTCTGAAATCGGATTTGAGCCTCATTCTCATTTTTTGGGCATTTGGTTCAAAGGCCCTTTGGCCTAGTTTTCATTGCTGAATATTTTTTCCTCTTGGTTTTGCTTCTTTCTTTTTTTTTTTGATGAATTTATCGCTTTTCATTAAAAAATTAGAGATTACAAAACGCCGGGAGGAATAGTCCCACACCACACACAATCCTGCCACAAATTAGCTAGATTATGTGCTAAAATATTAGCTTCCCTATGAACAAATTGAAAAGTATAATCATCAAATAAGGTAGCTAAGTCTCTAATTTCCTCAATAAGATGACCCCCTTCCCAAAAGATGGGATCCTTCTTATTAATTTGGGTGATAGGCAGCAATGAATCACTTTCAAAAATGCAACGTTCAATCCCATGTTCAATTGCAAGTTCAAACCCAAAAAGTAATGCATGTACTTCAGCATACAAAGAATCAGCAATGAAATTGAGGCAACGAGAGGCACAAATAATGATCTTGCCAGCGCTATCTCGGATGACTACTCCCAATCCCGCTTCCCCTGAACTGCTGCAAAATGCAACATCTGTATTAATCTTGACAATCCCCATTGGAGGAGGAATCCAAGTCAGCTGCCGAGGATGAGACAATGAAGTCTGGTCTGTTCTCCTTTAAATTGAAATATACTGCTCCAGAATAGAGGAAGCCGAAAAATGAATGGCATCAGGTGAGGCAGAAACCTGTTCATACAAAGCTTTGTTCCGATTATTCCAAATTAGCCACAAGGTAATTAAAACCTTATCAAGCTGACCAATTGAAGTTGCTTTTGCTATGAAAAAATCCCACCAATCTCCATCAGAATTCCATTGATCAAGTGTCAGATTAACACAAGGACCAACTCGGTCCCATACCAACTCACTAAATTTGCATCTAAAGAAGACATGGAAAACCGATTCTGGCTGCTTTCCACATACTTCACACAATTGTGGAACATCCAAACCCCGAAAGACAAGATTACCTTTTGTAGGCAAAATATTCCATATCAAACGCCATGTGAAGAAATGAATCTTAGGCATGATTTGCGAAGACCAAACTAGTTTCCAAGTCTGCTGCCGAGGCCCTTGAAGTGAATCAGCTCTTCGAAGCACATCCCTTGCCACATAATAAGCAGATTTAACTGAGAATTCCCCCATCCTAGTGGCATTCCAGATTAAGCAATCACGAACTGGATGTCTAGGTATTGCCAACCCCAATATGCGAGAAGCATCTTCCTACTCGAATAAGTCAATGACCATATCAATTCGCCACATTCTATTGTCGCCATCAATTAGATCCAAGACCTTCAAATCGGGTACAACAGTCTCAATCCTAGGAGAGGGCCGAAAGGATGGTGGTTTGGCAATCCACCTGTCCTTCCAAATATCCAAATTCCCCTCCCCTACTCGAAAACGAGACCCTGCGATGATGACCCTCCGACCTGCCATCAAACTTCTCCAAAGGAAAGAAGGACTTGACTCAAGTGTAGCATGTAGAAAGTCTCCTCGAGGATAGTACTTAGCTCGAAGTACTCGAGTACACAAAGTATCTGGATTCTGAATCAATCTTCATCCTTGTTTAGCTAGCAATCCCAGATTAAAAGCTTCGAAATCTCTAAACCCCAAACCCCCATCCAGTTTTGATTTACACAACGTTTCCCAGTTTTTTTAGTGAATTTTCTTTTTTCTTGAAGAATCTCCCCACCAATATCCAGCAATCATCGAATTTAATTCCTGCACAAAAGATTTGGGAAATTGGAAAACACTCATAAGATAAACGGGAATCGCCTGGACTACCGATTGGATCATTACAGCCTTCCTTGCTCTCGAAAATAATCTCAAATTCCAGCTAGAAATTCTCTTCATCAATTTATCCTTAATAAATTGGAATTCCCTTGTTTTAGATCGTCCAATCATAATAGGGAGACCTAAATATTTATCTCTTTCTAATACCCGCTGGATTCCAAGATAACTCATCACCTTATTCTGAATAGCCAACGGTGTGTTTGCACTAAATAAAATCGATGATTTATCAATATTAATTTTCTGACCAGAGGCAGCCTCAAATAAATTAAGCAGAGAAATCATTGCCTCACATTCCTTCCTTGAAGCCTGTAAGAACAAAATGCTATCGTCTGCAAAGAATAAATGAGAAACTTTCGGAGCAGATCTTGAGATAGAGATACCATGGATAAAACCTGACCTACTTCCAGAAGAAAACATGGAAGATGGACCCTCCATACATAAGAGAAACAAGTAAGGCGATAATGGGTCACCTTGTCTTATACCTCTCGTCGGGTGGAAAGTCTCTCCTTGTTTATCATTCACCAGTACTGAATAGGAAACAGTTTCAACACACTCCATGACCAACGAAATCCACCGATCTGGGAAGCCCATAGCACGCATTGAGTCACGCAAGAAACCCCATTCAACAAGATCATAGGCCTTGCTAAGGTCCAGCTTCAAAGCCATGTGATGCTTTCGACCTCGCCTTTTATTTCTCATAAAATGGATAGTTTCGAAAGCTATCATCGCATTATCATATATCATTCGCTTAGGCACGAAGGCACTTTGATTCTCTCCAATTAATTCTGGAAGAATATCCTTCAATCTATTTGCAAGAACTTTCGAAACAATTTTGAAGATGACATTGCACAGACTTATCGGTCGATAGTCCTTAGCAAAACGAGGAGAATCCAATTTTGGAATAAGGACAATGTTTGTATGATTCACATTCGAAAGAGGAGAACCATTATTTAAGAAATCAAGCACAAAATCCGTAACATCATTGCCAACAACGCTGAAAAAACGCAAGTGATAATCCATCCGGGCCTCGAGCTTTCGAGCCTGACATTTGGAATACTGCTTGTTTGACTTCCTCGATCGGCAGTAAATTTCTCCTCTAAGTGGACACGCATCTCCTCTGTAACTCTGCATTCCATATGATTGAGAACGGCTTGAATATTGCATTGGGTCGGATGCGAGGATGTGAGAATATCCTTAAAATAATTATTAAAAATATTCTCAATACTTGTTGGTTCTTCACACACAACGTCAGTATCATCTTCAATTCGATCAATTGCCTTCTTGCTTTTACGTGATGAGGCCACTGCATGGAAGTACTTAGTGTTCTTATCACCTTCTCTCAACCATTGAATTTTCGACCTCTGACGCCAAAGTAATTCATCTTGGTGCAATAACTCATCCAACTCCAATTTACACTTAGAAAAGTCGGCTTGATTACCCCTACAGCCCAAAGAATAAAGATTCTCAATTCTTTCTTTTTCACCTTAATATTGTGCTGCAAATTACCAAATTTTGTCTCATTCCAAAGTTCCAAGGCCTTACTACAAGAAGAAATCTTGTCTAAAATTCCAATATCACCCGTCGGCCAAGCTTGTGAAATAACCTCATCGAATGACTCATGAGCAGCCCACATTTACTCATATTTGAAAGGTCTCTTTCGATATCGAGAGGGTAAGCCGGTCTGATATTAACAACAATAAAGGAAGATGATCGGATTTAGAACTAACCAAATGCTTCTCAATAGAATATCCAAATCGATCCCACCAAGCTGGATTAGCCATACTTCTGTCCAATCTTTCAAACAATAATTCACCATTTTTGTTACGGCACGAAGTCATCAAAAGGCCTTGCACAGGCAATTCCCTAAAATTACAGTCACCAATAACCTCATTAAATAACTCCATTTGTCTAGGGGATCTCACACTACCTCCTTCTTTCTCCAAATTAGATTTTAACTCATTAAAATCCCCAGCACATAACCAGGGCAGAGAGTATTGATCCCCTAAGTTCCTTAACAGAGACCATGATTCATGTCTCCTAGATGTTTCAGGTCTACCATAAAACCCTGTAAATCGCCATTGTGTTGCCATATCAGAACCAATAGCAACATCAATGTGGTAAAAAGAATAAGACAATAACGAAATACAATCATTAGCCATCCACAACAAAGCAAGCCCTCCTAATCTACCTCTACTATCAACAACAAAACAACAATGATAGCCCAAACGGACTTTAATCCATTCCATTTGATTACTACTACGCTTAGTTTCAGAAAGGAAAACAAATCGGGGTTTATTACAATTTATTGAATTTGCTAAATAATGAACTGATCGAGGGGCCCCAAGACCTCGACAGTTCCAAACTAAGCAACTCATGGTGCTTGGAAGAGATGGCTGCCTGCCACCCCCGCCACTATATTATCATTAGTCGATCTAACATGCTTCATATTCCCTGAGTCAGCTTCATCCTCCCGAAGATCAGCAGCGCCTGAAAAATCCATATCAGCTTCCCGAAATCGTTTCACCTTGCCTCCAACCGAATAGTATTAGGTAGTTGTGAAGCCTGTTGCCATCTTCTGACCAACACTTCTCATGGTCTCATGGAAGAGCAAATCAACTGAAGCCGACTGAGCTGTGTGGGCTGTCTTCTTCCATTTTCGAATTTTGGTTCCCTCTGAAGCTTCAGCACAAAAGACATAGGGGGCATCCGGATCATAAGGTTCGTCTCCCTGCTGAACATTGTTTGCTCTCTGTTGACGAGTAGCCCCAGTCGAACCTGATTTTGCATTAGCTCTCCTCTGAAGTTCAGCTTGCAAACCCATACTCTTGGATCGAACTGCACCTGATGTTGGGCCAATAGATGAAAGCCCAACACCTGGGATGGATTGTGCACCTATAATTTCAGCCCCAATAAAAGACCCACACCCCATATTATCAATTAGGGGAATATAATCATCAGGATATTGAGAGTTATTAGAACTGTCCACATCATTAACCGCTGCCACCCCACGAAACTCACCTTCTCCTTCTACCAACAAATTTTCCTTTAAAGTCGCACCCATCTTACTTAAAATTCCTCTTCTTGCGGAGTCAACCGACAAACCAGCAACCACTTTTCCTCCATTCCCACGTTGTTGACTTTGTCCCTGACCCTCCTTCAAATTCGGTTGTTGCCTAACCAGATTCCCATTCATACGGTAAATAATCTCACACGATGCTTCATCAAATTGTAGAGCACGCGCCGCCCGTCTGCCATACAGTGCAGGGCTATCAGCGTGATTTCTCACCGGCCCACCTCCGTTGATGGACTTAGAAGGGACTGACCTACTCCCCGCTGGTCCAATATTACCCACCTCTCTTCCAGCTCTCAAAACAGGTGAGACTGATGCTGCTGATCCCCCTCTCCTGTGGCTCGAAGCAGGTTCCTTAGCCGGAGTAACTGGAGGAAATTCAGCTTTGAGGTTGCAGGTGTACTTCTTCTTCACTATCTGATGATTTTTCCTCAATGAAACTGTCACCGGAAAATCATTATCCAGATGGTCGAGAAGGCCACACACCCAACAATAGTCGAGTAATTTTTCAAATCGGAAATCAACATACAATTCCTCATTTGGAGCAGAAACTAAGGTACCAGCTTTGAGAGATTGGCAGAAATTCATCTGAACACGAACTCTTAAATAACGACCCCAATCTTCATCAAATTCAAGAACAGGTCCTACAGTCTCCCCAACTGCAATTCCTATTTTTTCATTCATCATGTTAAGAGGAAGGCCATAGATACAAAGCCAAAAGGGACATACCTCAAATTGGACAGACTCTGGGGATTGAAAGCCATCATACTCATTCAGTGCCAATAATGCCTTATTAAACTACCAAGGTTGATTCGTATAAGCCCGATCTTTTTCCAATTCGTCCTCAAACTGGAAAACAAACAAACGGTCACCAACCTCCTTTACTTGGAAGCCTGATTCAACATTCCAGACCTTGCTCATCACCGCCTTCAAAGCTTCCAGGTTGGGTTGTTTCTTGGCCAACGACTTGCCAATGAGACAGAACCATGCCAAAGCTCCTTCCAGTTCTTCAATCCATTCTTGATCAATAATAACCCTCTCTTGGTTATCCTCCTCTTGCAAGGACATTTTGGAACAAAGGTTGGATAGCGTACCTGCCATATGGAAAAGCACCAAGAAACAAACAAGAAAATTACCACAGAGAAACAATGAAAGCAGTGAGGAGAATAGCCACCAGAGCCAGCAATACTAGTACAATAATATTGCCAGTAAATCCTTAATAAATCCATTCAGATTGGTTAATATTTTAATTTTAAAAGGAGAAACTGAAGATGAGATCTTAGAGAGATTAGGATTGATTCGGATTGCAGTTGGGAATTTAAATTTTTGGAACCTATGGAAACGTGATAAGATGAGGTTGCTATGAAAATGGATCAAAGAAATATGTCTAATGTGATGCAGCTTGTACTGATGGCAAGAGGAAGCCTTCACTGCTGGAAGAGGAGAGCTCTCACTGGTGGAGAGAGAAGAAACAGAGAGAAAATTTCCCATTTTTCCTCTTGGTTTTGCTCTGCCTTTTATTATTGTTCCATTTTTTCTCTTTTTTTTTGTCCATACCCTTTTATTTTCTTTTGAAGTTTGAAGGAAAATGTATTACTAAATATCGCCCCCTTTTTACTAGCTACCGCCTCCCCAAAAAACATATTTACCCTTTCCTTCATTTTCCTTCAAATTTCAAACTTTCCAATTTTCTCAGCCTTCAAACTTTCTAATCTCAATCATTCAAGTAAAACAACATCGAAACTCATGAAGGAGCATGGGCAAAGGTTTTTTCGGATCGAAGGTATGTTTTTTCTTGACAAAAAAGGCAAAAAAAAAATTATCCAAGATAATGGCACGGTCGCGACCTGTTCGCGACCATGGCATGGCGCTGTCGCGCCCAGCTCGCGATCGTGCCATGGTGCGGTCGCGACCAGCACGCGACTATGCCATGGTGAGGTCGCGACCCGGCCCAGGCATGATCGCGATCCGGTCGCGACCAGCCATGATTTCGCCCCCCCCCCCTTTTTTTGCCTTAAAAAAACATATTTTCAATCCAAAAAAAACTTTGCCCATCCCCGGACGTCGCTCCTCCATGAGTTTTGATGTTGTTTTACTTGAATGATTGGGTTTGAAAGTTTGAAGGTTTTTTTTTTTTTTTTGCCAAGAAAGTTTGAAGGTTGAGAGAATTGAAAATTTTGAAGTTTGAAGGAAAATAAAGCAAAGGGCAAAATAGTCCAAAAGGGGAGCGGTAACTAGTAAAAGGGGGCAGTGTTTAGCAATCCAGTTTTTTTTTTCTTCAAACAAGCAAAATACATATACGTTTCGCTGCCATGCACTTTGGAAGTAGGGTGGGCAAGTCTCCACCCTTGATTTCTTAATATCTTCACATTTTGCTATAATTTTGGATGGTGTTCACCCACATTTTATCATGTGTGCCCACATTTCATTGCTCAACAACTTAATGTACCTCATAATTCATAGCTCATCAGCCAATAAATGATTGACTGAGGTGTTAAACGACTTCTATCCCGACAAAAATGAGAACATAAGTTTAATTCCACCTAAGAAAGGTTAAACTTTTTATGTTTCCTGCAGAAAAAAATTAGTCTCAAGCCAAAAAGATCATAGCCTTAATTAAACAACCAAAATTTCTTCCCATAACTCCCACATCCATTTTCTTGTCTTTAATGATGTACACAATGATAAGGTTATCCCAAATCCCAACAATAGTAAAAAAAAAAAGTATTTATAATGATGCTTTTATCCAAGTCTTGTGATATATATAATTATAATATTTTTAAAACTAACATTTTGTAGTCGATATATATATAATACATGTTGTGTCCACCTTGAAAAATTTTCCTAGATCCACCACTGTTCGCTGCGACAACATTTTTATCATTTATACACTTGACAATTTCCACACTTACAAATTTAAAAACTAATATAAAAGTATCACAAATCATTTACATAGAGTATTAATGAGTTAAAATAATAAAAAATAGAATTAAACGACTAAATTGTATAAAATAAAAAGTTCGAGGATGAAATTGCATAAAGGATGAATGTTTGAGGGCCTTAATGTAAAATAGATTCAGTTAAAGGGCCTATAAGAAATCTCAAAAGGACTTAAGCATAAAATTGAAATATCCGAGAATTATTACATAAATAACCCTTTTTTTCAAGTTAGCTATTAGGGGTGACAAGTGTCAACCCCAATTTCACTAAGCGTCACCCGTTTACGAAAGAGGGTTATCATTATATATGTTTTAGATTGAACTCTTTAAGTTTGTTCATTTGTTCATGCTTTGGCTCTTTTACAACATTACAAAAAATTACATTTATTTCTTATACAGTGTGAGTCTTTGGCTTTTGATTCGACTCTTAGATCTCGTAAGAATTCTCAATTGTTTTATCTCTCTTGTTATATATAGAATTAATATTTGATGCACGAATAACATATTGATACCATATACTCCCTCTGTTTCTATTTAAAAGTCACAATTTGATCAAACATAATCCATCTTTAATCACTAAAAATAGAAAATATTTAAAATTAAAATTTCAAAAAATATGTATTAGAAAGTTTATAAATCAAAATTTACAAGTATTGTTTTTAAAAATGATTTTGATTTATATTATTTTTTTAAAAAATAAAGTTTAAATATGTTTGACTTTTTTATGATTTGTAAAAGGAACGAAGTGACTTTTTGAAAAGCAGATTTCATATACTAGTCGTAGTCTTGAGGCATTGTTCCATCAGATTTTTTCTTTTTTTTGAAATGTCAATTAACTTTTAGAAACCGCATAATATTCACCAATAACCAAAATTACAGACCATCTCATCAGTTTGTCATATCTGGACATGAACCAAAGTAGCAAAAAAATCACATATGGACAAAATGTGTAATCAGCAAGGCAGCATGTAGGAAGAGTTTTCATTTGCCTTTGTTGGTGAGCTTCATGTAGATTAGTTGGCTGCCACATCACTTTTGATTTAATTTTAAAAGCCCACGGCAGCTAACGAGTCATTATAGACTAACATTCTCAAATTGAGGTTGTGGGGGTTGGGGGGTCTAGAGGCATAGTACAGAAAGGACTCGTAGACCCAATCATACAAATTGGGCATTGCACCACTCAGTCTTTGTTCCATCAGATTTATGGTAACTGTAAAAAATATTTAAGAAAATAAATTTTAAAATTAATCATAAAAAATAATTTTCTGTACAAAACGCGGAGTAGCGCTGGCGCGGGTTATTTGAAAGATTACTTATTTAGGTAGAACTAGAAATCTAGAATAGCAACGGTAACTTAGCTTCATTCATACGCATAAAATTGGGTAGGGTAAAAATAAATATATAAATATTTTGTAAAACCCTTTCTAATTATTTTTCAAAATCTTTTCTGAATATTTCTCATCACTTTTCATAACGATAGAATTTTCTTTTCTCAAAACTTTAGGCAGGGTTTGTACGGTGTGGTTAGCTTGTTTAAGGCCACAAATCCTATTCTTGGCGATGAACTCTATGTAATCAAGAGTTGTCTCTATCAAGATTCCTTCTCACTACATAAGGAATTAGAAATTTTGAAAAGGTTTCATGGTTGCCCTAATATAGTTCAGAGCGATACTAGAGTAGAATGTTGAGCAAAGGCTTGAGGGTTTATAACTTGGTTCTTGAATATACGGCCGGAGGGAGTTTTTTAGACTTGATGATCAAGAATTACGGTTGCAGAATTACCGAAGTTGATGCACGATACTACACAAGAATGGTGGTCGAATTGTCGAAGGGCTCCGGGAAATCCATAAAAAGGGATTTGTTCATTGTGATTTGAAGCTCGAAAACATCCTGGTTTTTCCTTCATCGATCGGAGCGATATATATGAGGATGCTGAAAGTTGCCAACTTCGGCTTGACAAGGCGCCAAGGAGAAATTATAAATGTGCCGATGGTGGAACCATTGAAGCCACCATTTCCAGGAACATAAGTTTACATGCCACCGGAAGGAATCGAGTTGTGCTTGAGATGGTGATTGAAAATTTGCCTTGGGAATATAAGAACTCGAATGACGCGGCGAGGAAGCTTTCCACGTTGGGGAATTCGCTTGAAATACCAGAAGGGAAAGATTTCTTGAGTCGATGTTTTGTGAGCAATCCTAAAGAGAGGTGGACTGCTGAAATGTTGTTATGGCATCTTTTTCTGCTTCTTGATTTTTCAGAAGACTGCTGGTTGCCATCTCCAACTCCAACAAGTAATCTTCAACAAGTAGACCAGACCAAGACCAATTTTCCTTTGATAATCAACAAAATACTATGTTATTATTTATCTAGTAGATATTTTTCAAACTTAATTGTAAAAAACTTATTCAATTGCATTCATTTCATATTTGTTATTGGCTTATATATTGCTATAAATATATGGAAATTACTCTCAAGTTCTTATATCTTTTGCAAGTTTTTATTGTTTTATATATATATATATATATATATATATATATATAGGGTATACGATAGTCCATCCGATAATAAGTGAAATATTAGTTTTGTCTTGTTTCATAATAAATGAAACACTTACAAAACTAATACAATTTTTCCATATATACCCCTAATTAATGGAGAGTTAAGGAGAGAGAAGATAAATGCAATTAATGAAAAGTTGGGGCGTTTAGGTCATTTCAAGTTTTTTTTACTAAATTTAAGATAAATTAATCATTGTCTTAATATGTGTGATATTCCAAGTATTTCATTTATTTTGGATCGAAGTGAGTATTATATAAGAAAGAGTTTGATAAGGACCGCCTATAAAGTCCTACTTTTACACCCTCCAACGGTAAAATGCCACCTCATAAATTTTGAGTTTTT